ACATCACCAGGAAGTGACGTTATGATGCCGGGCACGCTGGGGGCGGGGCCACGACCATTCGAGGGGAAACTATAGAGTTTTCCCTTGGATGGACGTGGCCCCGCCCCCAGCGTGCCCGGTGTCATAACGTCACTTCCTGGTGACGCGCACGCCGGGGTGGGGTTCCCCCCGGGGCCCAATTCCGCGGCGGCAGAAATCGGGCCTCCAAAGCGGGGGTTTACCCGCCCCCACTTGGCAGCCCTAGTGGGTAGCCATGTTGGCCTGAAGCAGCAGAACAAAGTCTGAGTCCACTGGCACCTTGAATAAAACTTTGTTGGTCTTAAACGGGCCACTGAGCTTGAACTTTGTTCTAAAATAGTATCGTTATCCCAGCACCTGACAAAAAACAAAACATTTTAATATTCCTGTTGACTTTATCCACGCCAACAAAGCAGATTCGGCCGGGAGAAAGGCCCGGCTGAAGCATTTCCAAGTCAGGTGATCTTCTCTACCAGACGCAGAAATGGGTTTCACCTCTCCATCAGAACATGAGAGGTGAGGCCCGAAGGCACCTAAGCCCAAACTGATCTGTCTTTCTCCTCCATTTGTGAGGGGGATGAACTGCAAGAATGGTGAACTGGCTTTCCACATGGAGCACTGGCTGTCTTCCTTCTGTGTGTTCGGCGAAAGGCAAGGGGACATTCCACACACAGCCAGCTGCTGACCTGGGAAGCAGCCAAACTGGACCAAAGGGTCTTGCTGAAGGCCACTCATCAAGTTTGTTGAATGCCCAGCCGCTCACAAAGTAGAATTTTTGCTCAGAAGACTCCACAGCTTTTACCGGCCTTTCCATCATATAATGCCCTTCAAGGCAACTTATATAATCCATGAACACAATAAAACAAAATTAATAACAAAGAAGAAGAAAGAGAAAGAAAATGCCAGGGTCTGTCATCCCAGCCTGCCCCCAAAGGGGTGACATCTAAAGGAGACAAGAAAGGGGCAAACCGGACCACCCCACAGCTCTTTCCACTGGCATGGGAGGGAAGCCCAAAGCCCTTCCTCTCCCCTCACAGTGCTCTAGAGCCCAATGGAGCAATGGAATGCTTTAAAGGTGAGTTCCCCAGTTCACGTATATGACTGTGAGTTGGGTCAGGTACCCCAACCCAACTTATGTCCCATGTAATGTCTTAATGTTGGTGACTATCATGAGCAACTTTAAAAACAAGTAAGTGACCTAATTAAAATCCTTAAAACAAAGCCAGGACATAATAAACAAGATCAGAAGTTCAAAGGGACCTAGAAAGGGTTAAAAGTAAAACTGGGTGAAGAAGGGCAGCTCAAAATACTGTTGTGGGGGAGAAAAACCCATGTGATAACAACGTTTTAACGTATGAGCGCACAGATCTTTTTAGACACCATTGTAGCCAGTCTGGGAAAGGGCGTGTCTAGATATGAACTCATGTTCCTAAAGACGTGTGAACCTTATTTGTGTAACGCTGGTGTTTCCCAAAGCAACTGTCCCGATGTAATCCAAAATCCACGTGGGAAGGAGAAGGCCTGGGGGAGACATGGGACCTATTTCCCTGTTTCCCAGAACCTTGAGCCAAATTCCTGAGAAGGGCAAGGGCTCCATGCAGTTCTCCCCTTTGGGATATATTCCAAAACTGAGATGGTGAAGGGTCACTTGCACCATTGATACCCCTCCCTCATGTACATAAGAACGTAAGAACATAAGAGACACCAACGTTGGATCAGGCCAAAGGCCCATCCAGCCCAACACTCTGTATCACACAGTGGCCAGAAATACCAGGTGCCATCAGGAGGTCTAGCAGTGGGGCCAGGACATTAGAAGCCCTCCCACTGTTGAACCCACCCCCCCAAGCACCAAGAAGACAGAGCATCACTTGCCTCAGAGCCCCTATCTATACCTTGTGGCTAATAGCCACTGATGGACCGCTGCTCCATATGCTTATCTAATTCCCTTTTGAAGCCGTCCATGCTTGTAGCCGCCACCACTTCCTGTGGCAGTGAATTCCATGTGTAAAAACAAACAGAGATACGTGGCAACATGCCTTTTGGGCATACAAAAAATGTCCAGCAGGTCCAGATGGCACTCAGCCTCACGAAAGGTTGACCCTGCCCTCCTGTCTACAACAAAAGAATGGAATTGGACAAAGAGTCTACTTACTGGTTCACCTTTCTCGCCTTTTGGACCCGGAGGGCCTTTTGGTCCAAAGTCGCCTCTTCCACCCTGTTTCAAAAAAAATGGTATAAAGACTTAGGATGTCTTTGGGTTTTATCTTCTGCTCCCTATGCCCTTCTGTGTCTACCCACCTCTTTGTATCCCTTTACTCATTGAGGGACATTTCCACGGGGCTGTTCTTGGTGCATCTGCTTTAACAGTGTAAAGCTTGGTACACAAAGTGTATTATTGGATGGAGAAGGTAACTTTTCATGGGGGGGGCAGCCATTTATGTTGGTGGTACAATCCATGCCAATGCTGGTTTATTGAACATCACTGTGGTTGTGGGAATCCGCATAACAGCACTAGTGTGCATACAGTCTAAGACGGGGGTACTCAAAATTGTGTCCATGCTCATCATGGCATCTGCTGACACCTTTCATGGCGCCTGTAACAAAATGCATTTTCTCTTGGGAGGTGGCATGCAGCAAAACTCCACTTGGCGTTCAAAAGTTTCTCTCTCTCTTCTCTGGACAGAGAACAGGCTGGAAGGGGGGGAGTCAATTTGATTGCGCCTCAGACCACCTTCTTACAAATGCTAATACATCTAGCAGGAAAGACAATGGGATGGTCAAGCTTCCTCCCTCTCCCCCCACCTTCTCCAGGCAGGGAATAGAGTTTGGAGGACCAAATTCTAGAAAAGCTGAGGAAGTAGATTCCTGGAGACAACAGGAAAAGCCAACTTGACCTAGGCTGACCAGGGGAGGAACCAGAGATGATAAAATCTCAGTGCAACAGGAGATAGCTCTCTTTCTGTGGGATGCGCAGGCAATGAGAGGACACAGGACTCTTAATTCCTGAGACAGCCATATTGACCATGTGCTTGCCTGGGAGAAAGCTTCAAGGTAATGGTAGCCCTGTAGAGAACAAGGACAGCTAAGCTAAAGAGCCTATCCTATATTTTACCACCAGATAGGGCATGTATATGGGAAGGGACAGAGGATTTGTGTCAATTTGTTGTGTCATCTGTTCCCTTGTTAGATATTATGTCGAGCACTTAAGTTGTATTGAATGTTTTTAAATGCAGGTTTAATGTTTTATGTATTGGGCATTGACCCCATCTGTACGCCGCCCTGAGCCCGTTCGTGGGGTGGGCAGGTTATAAATTTAAATAAATAAATAAAATAAATTTTCTTTTGTTTTCCTTGATCAAATCTGGTGCTGTGCTAAAAGTATGCTTGTAAACATTTTCTTTTCAATAAATACTTTAAACTGTTGATGCTGGAAGTGGTCCTCTGTACCACATAGACCACCCACCATCTCGAACACGCTATCAGAAGAGGGGAGCCAGGGGGTTGGCAAGCGGCTATTCCAAGGCCATCTAAGGCATTAATCTGTCCCTGCGTGGCCAGGCGCTGGGTAGTGGGAGACACAGAGGCAAAGGCTCAGAACTGAGAAGGGGAGCTGGGGGGTCCTGATCCTCCCAGTGGGCAAATCCCTACAACAATCAGGTGGTGGTGAGGGGCTACCCCTAGAGAGAAAGAAAAGCCCCTCCAAGGAGTTGGGAACCCATAGGAGGGCAGGGTGGAAACGGGGCCTGCAAACCAGAGCAGGCATGTTCTGCTACAGCACCAACCAATGGTTTTTTAGAAGGTAGGTGGGGTCAGGTGTGGCACTTGCCCAGCAGATCTTATGACTGTCTAATAGAGATCGGATTGGCTGGGCAGATAAAAACAATGTTTCAGCGGCAGCTGTCACCACAAAGTTGGTTTTAGTGTCTCACTCCTCTTTCCCAGTGTATGTTTAAAAATTATCCTTCTTCTCCCCTGCACTTAGGCTTCCTACGTGTGGTCAGCTCTGCCTCTGGCAGCAGCCATTTTGTGGTTGGCTCTGCCTCTGGTGGCAGCCATTTTGTGATTGTTTCTGCCTCTGGTGGCAGCCATTTTGTGATTGTCTCTGCCTCTAGCGGCAGTCATTTTGTGATTGTCTCTGCCTCTGGCGGCAGCCATTTTGTAATTGCCTCTGCCTCTGGCATTTTGTGATTGTGCGCACCACCTGTGTCAGAATTCCAAAAGTGCCCACAGGTTCAGAATGGTTGGGGACCCCTGGTCTAAGAAGTGATCCTGCAAGCATCATATGCACCCCCATGAGACTATACAGAGAAGTTAATCAGCTACTCATTGAAGACCATCATTTGTTATCATATTTCCCAGCTGAAGAAACAGACAAATATAATATTATACTATACCTCCAGTCCTTGTACACCTTTCTCGCCTTTTTCACCCTGGGAACAAAGAAAAGCTAATTAGACTTCACTTTGCTTGGCCACAAGCCTACTTAGAAGTAACAGGGAAACGCTTCTTCTTCTTCTCATCACCTACTACTTGATCAAGTGGAAATACCAGGGATTAAACCTGGAACCTTCTGCATGCAAAGCAGATGCTCTACCATTGAGCCATAGCCCTTGGTTATCCCAGACAGCATTGACTGAATCCATAGCCTTGCACAGGGCTCATCGGAGAGGAGTTAATCAAACTGAGTTGAATACGGATGGCAAGAGATTAAGTTCTAGGACTGATTGATGAAGAAGTCACCCCTCACTGTGTATGAATAGCACACACCTGAGGGTTTTTAAAGAGCTCCAATGTGAAATTGCTAATCTTCTTAAAAAACATTGCAACTTGTCATGAAAGTGGACCATGCTACTGGAGCAGGTATTAACACTGGCTTTAAAAAAGGGATCCATGAAATTATTGGCCAAGTTAGCTTGACATTAACTGACGGAAACCATGATGGCCAGTCTAGCATCCTTGGGGCCCGGAACAGTTAGAAAATTCTGGGCCCCAGACCGTAGCACTCTTGGGGGAACATACGGGGAAAGGCGGTCCCTCAGGTGAAAGTGGACCATGCTAGTGGAGCAGGTATTAACACTGGCTTTAAAAAAGGGATCCATGAAATTATTGGCCAAGTTACGTAGTTTGATATTAACTGATGGAAACCGCTATTAAAAACAGATATATTATGTACCTAGAGGAACAGGTCCCATTGAGGAAGAACCAGCATAGCTTCTGCAGTGGGAAGTCTGGCCCCATCAACCATGGTAGCATTCACACACACTAAACAATCCACTTTCAATCTACTTTCAATACACTATCTAACTGGATTTTACTGTGTGAACTGGCAAAATCCAGTTGGAAAGTGGACTGAAAGTGGATTATTTAGTGTGTGTGATTGCAGCCCTTATGGAGTTGTTTCAGAATTTGAAGGCACATGCTGAGATATGACATATTAGGGCTTTTAAAAAGCTTTTGACAAACTTCCTCACCAAAAGGCTCCTGAGTAAATAAAACTCATGGGATGAGATCACAGGTCCTCTTATCCAGAATAGTAACCGGTCAAACAACAGGAAGCCAGAGGGAGGAATAAATTTACAGTTTTCATAATGGATTGTTACGTGGGCTTCCCTGGGATTGGTTTTGGAACTGGTGCTATTTGACTTATTCGTAAATTATCCGGAATCAGGAATGGACTGCAAAAGAGGCTACATTTGCAAATGTCACGGAATTATTCTGGGCCGTGAAGACCAATGTAGAGCATCTTTTCAAACAGAATTAATGGGCTCTCAAATGGCAAATGAGTGTCAAATGTCAAGTGGGACAAAAAGTCATAACTTCACATGTGCCAGGATGAGGCCCCCCAACTGCTGGCAAGTGAGAGCTCTAATGTGAGGTGCCCCTGGCAAGTTAACCCTCTGTGGGAGACGCGTCACTGCCTTTTGCACTATTTTGCTGACCAAACTTTCTTCAAGGATAAGACCAACAAACAGAACCAAGATACTTATATGAAAGGTAGTCAGGGAACTCAACATTGAGGAAAAAGAGTATGTACGTTTGTCAGTTAACATGGTGAGGTTTACTCCCATATCTCCCCTTATGCTGGAAAAATCACGAAAAGTATTATAAATAATACACATAAGGATGTCAAATGAAACATTTTAAAATGACCAGAACTACATAATCACCAGCATTTCTGCCTATAAAGCCTTCTTCAGTAGTCATTGATAAACTGTTACATACCATGTAGTAATTTATCAGTACTGAGTGAAGAAGGCTTTATAGGTTGAAAAACACATATGGTGTGGTGATTATGGTGTATGTTTGTAAATAGAACCTTTCTGGCATGTGATTCAAGAGAAGAGAAGAGAGATTGGATTTATACCCCACCCCTCACTACCAGAACGGATTACAACCTCCTTTCCCTTTCCCTAACAGACACCCTATGAGGTAGGTGGATCTGAGAGAGCTCTGAGATAACTGCTCTTGAGAGAACAGCTCTGAGAGAGCTTGTGACTGACCCAAGGTCACCCAGCTGCCTGCCTGTGGAGAGTGAGGAATCAAACCCATTTCTCCCAAATTAGAGTCCACGCTCCTAACCACTACACCAAACTGGCTCTCAAACTACCCCACAGATGAATAGCATATTTCAGTCTCTATCTATCAAGGAGCAGGACTGGTCTTGCTGGAGAGGATGAATGAAACGTCTACATAAGCCGAGGCTGTCTAGTTACACCAGCTGCAGCTCTACAACCTCTTAGGCAAGAGTGTTAGCAAGATGCTACAAATGGACTAAATCTGGAACCTTATCTGTACTAAGCATGCCAAATGAGCTCCCTCTCTTTCTGTGGCTTGTTGGGACACAGTCTACAAGGTGGCTTTCCTTCTGTTGGCCAATGTGCTTCACTTGCCACGGAAACTTTCCATGCAAGCCTAAATACAGCAAGTAAATGAAACCTACCGGGAGTCCTCTGGGGCCAGGATAGTTAAAGCCAGGTCTTCCTCGGTCTCCCTGAAGTAAAAAAAGAAAAAGAAAAAGAAAGAACTGACTTCAAAGAAAATGTAGCATTCCAGATGCTCCCATTTATTGGTCTATATTGACCAAAATGGCCATGCATCTGCTGTAGAGCACAATTAATAAGCCGCTATGAATAAATATGTATGGAGCAATTTCAGTGTGAGCTTACACACACTTTTAAGAGAAGAAGGTCAAAACCCTTTGGACAAGAGAGACTATACAGTTTTTCAAGATTTTTTAAATAACTGGAAAGATTATGGAGATGTTTAAGACTCTACAACAAAACTAGACCGACATATAACCAACTTGAAAGAAACAGGAACTTTATTTTAAACCAATTGCAAAAGAATATACATAAAAATAACGTGGCATATAGAAAATAGATATTTAGATATTGAATGAGATACTTAACTAGATATTTTTGCGATGTAATGGAAACCCCCCGATTTGTGTGTGTATGTTTGTCTCAAATAAAGATAAAACTGATTTTAAAAAAAGAATTACAAGAACTTAATTCAGGTGGTTAAAAAAAGGGACAACCAGAACATAAGAAGAGCCGTCTGGATCAAACCAGTGGTCTGTCTAGTCCAGCATCTTGTTTCACATGGTGGTCAACCAGTTGTCCTTGGGGGCCAACAAACAGGCATGGAGACCAAGGCTGGTCTCCCCAACGTTGCCTCCAAGTGCTGGGATTCAGAGGTTTGCTGCCTCTAAATAAGGAGGTTCCCTTTGGTCACCATGGCTATCTGCCATTGATAGACCTCTCCTCCATGTAGCCTACAGTGCATGAGGGGGGGAAACGAGATTCCCACATTAAAGCAGGCTTGTGCTAACATTCAGGTCCACATTACCTTTGGTCCTGAAAGGCCTGAGTCACCTCTTGGACCCGCATCGCCGGAATCCCCTCGAGAACCCTGAAATCGAGTAGGAGAAAGTAAAGAGAGAACATGAGTGTGGAGGCGTCCACTGGTCTCCAAGAACTTTAGGGATCCCATTATGTTGGTGCTGTACAATAAGTGGTCTCATTTTTCTTATCAACAACAAAGTAGCTCTGACAGGAGTCTCCTCCTGTTCCCGGGTAACGTTTACTGCCAATTTACACAGCTAAATTATGGTGAGAAGATTCTTCTCTAACACCACAGATATCTGGGTGAAAAGAGCAAGGACTTCTCCTGGTGAGCTGACTCCCAGAATACTGGGGTTGGGGGTGAGGAGAAGGAGGCAAAGAACTTAAATTCAAAATGCTGATTGACACTGAATAGTTTGGTGGCCATCAGAAAAGCTGGGATGATAAAATAATATGGTTTTCTGATTCAGGTTCTAGGAGAGAATGTTGACACATCCAGATGTGCACAGATGAAACTTACAGGCTTGCCCGGCTCCCCCACACTCCCTTGTGGTCCTCGTGGGCCAGGTAGCCCCCGTTCCCCCTGTGGAACAGAGAAACAAAGACAGAGTCAAAGATTATTGTGTCCTCAAAGATGGGGCTAGGAAGTGCTAACAACTGTAGGCTATGTTATATGTGGTCAATGTACCCTACTGGTACAATTAATTCGGGACCATGTCGGAAAAATAGCAAGAAATATCATGGCCTATGAATGTTACTGTCTGTAATGGCTGCTGTGCTCTTACATTGCCAGCACAGCCACCTTCACCAGCTGTGATTTCGTAGGTCATGGGGGAAGAACCTGAACCCTCCTTTGAGATCCCAACTCAGATGCACGTGGAGTAGCTAACTGAAGCCAGTTCCAGACAACAGGAAATAATGTGGTGCTAGGGACCAACAGAGATGACACCTCCTTCATACACTAGAAGGGCTAGATCTCCCCTGCCATTTCACAGGCTGGCAGGGGGGAAATTGGGGGTTCTTGCCAGCATCACGTGTCATTTCTGGTGTGAAACCAGGAGCAACATCATTTCATCATGGTGACACTCTAGGATTTGCCCAAACCTCTATGGTTTAACCACAGAGTTTGGGGGAAGGATCCTAGAGCACCACCCTGAAACAATGATGTTACTTCAGGTTTCGTGCCGGAAGTGATGTTATTTGTCAACGCGATGCCAGCATGACTGTTTCCGCCCTTCAGCATTTACCAGCTGCAGGTGGCAACCCTAACCAATGCTCCCTCTAAGCTGTGGAGTCTTCTGAGCCAAAATTCTACTTTGTGAGCCACTGGCATTAAAGTTGTGAGCAAGCAATTTGGCTACTGCATAAATTAGTTTGCTCCGGAGCCATCATCCCTGAGCTAAGGCAAAAATCTGTGAGCAGGAGGCTAAAATACCGTGAGCTAGCTCACACTAACTCAGCTTAGAGGGAACACTGACCCTAACCCCCCACTGATGGCGTTCAATATCCCCCAAGACTTCTAGCTTTAAACTGCTCATTGATTCGCTGTTACACTTAACCCAACTTCAACCCATGAGAAAGGTGGAACCATTTCTACTGATGCCAGTGCGGAAACCTCCTGCAAGCTGCCACCAAGGGGAACACACCTGCTTGGAGAAGAAAAGAATGGGCAGAAGAATGGGCTGGAATCCTATCATATTTCCTCACCCGTCCTCCTTTGCTTCCAACTTCTCCTGCTAGCCCCCGTGGCCCCTCGGGACCAGGATCACCCTATGAGCAAAGGAAAAAAGCCATTAGATTTACTTACCAAAGAAAGGAGGCGGGGCCTTCACATGTCAGTCTGAACAGTATGAAATACGAGGGATGCCTTTGAAACTTCTTTGGTGACGGGAGGTGTATGTGAAGGCTGAGTCTTTGCTATGGTTACTCATTGCACCTCCCCAGAATTTTGATGCCACACTTGCTGGTGGAAAGCGCCACTAAGGTTGAATCTACATTTGTCTTTCCCACCGGTGTCCCAGCCTTCTGACACCGTTGTTAGAGAGCAAGCCTGATATTTGTTTTATGGACTGTTTACTGCTACACAATGGACTGTGCCTATACACATGGGCTCAGAGAGCTGTACACTTTAGGTCACCTGTTGTGATGACACACATAGAGGGTGCCTGAACATACCTTACATGTAAATACGGTTTTAGCTACACAGTTGCCCAGTCTGGTGAAGAAGCACAAACCTCCATTATTGTGAGCAATGAAACAACAACTCTAGGAAGAAACAGCCCCCATGGTAAAGCTGCTTGTGGTCACGTATCACCCATCACCATGTAACTGCTCTGTTCCTGAGCTGGCATTTCCTGCCAGATGGACATTTGGTTATCAATGGAATTGGCCAACTTCATCAGCATTACACGGAAGCATCTTGATGCCTGGATTTCACACCTGTCCAGATGCCATACTTCGAGTAAGGTTTTAGGTTACAATATTGGCCATCCCTCCTAGGTAACCTCCCTCCCTACCTGCAACCAATAGGGTTGTTTTTGGGACAGACTAAAAGGTAGGTGGGTCAAGAGGTTGGCACAGTTACCGCCCATCTCTTGAACCCACTATAAAAGAAGAGAACCAGTCACCTGGCCCCTCCTACCTGACTAGCTAGCATTCCCCCAAGACAACCCCTGTCTGCTTTTACCCCTCTTAAGTCCCTCTTGCTATCCCCAACCCTTGCCTCTACTATTAATCTCTTGATCTATAGTCAAGAGACCCACGTCTTCCGGCTGGTTCTGGTCCATCCATTCTTCATTGGAACAAGATAAGTATCGCCCACCATCACCCCTACCTGCTAATGCAACTGCGCTTATTTCCTACTGTAATTCTTAGGAACTTAATTGAGTGTGTGAGTACATCAGTATTGTTTGTATGAGATATATTTCTAGTAAAAGACATCGATTTTAACTACAACAGCCTCAAATCCTTTACTGGTAACCCTTGGTGGGATCAGGACCTTGGTATAAATTGGCAAGAACCCATTTATAAATTGCCAATTGCTGTAAATAAAGCAATTCGGCTAACACCGTCTTTAAGCTGTCTACATTTGAGAAAGAAGGCATCACAGCAGCATGAAACTGATTTTAAAACGCCCTGTGGTAAAACCATATGGCCATAGAACACACTCATCCCAGCAAGCAAACAAGGGATTAGTGTATCGTTTAATTGCCCAGTTTCCCCAGAGCGGCGTATGTTCAGTTGTGCTTGTCTTTAACAAAAGCCCACCCTGCCAATATGCATTCACTTCATTTGGTACTCTCTAGACCCGGAATCCAAATGCTACAGGGATGTGTTTCTCTTTTTCTCAGCCCTGCTGATGAGGTGGGAACTCCTAGCATAGCTTTGGAAGGTTGCCAAACTTACTCTCTCTCCTTTGGTTCCAGGACTTGCTTGGGTCCCCTTCGGGCCCGGATCACCTCGACGGCCCTTGGGCAAAACAAGGAAACAGTCAAAGCACAATCCAGACATTGGTTCATTGATTGGTGCTATACTGGTCTCCCCTCATTTGGTTCTCCAAACTGAACGATGTGTACCAGGTAGAGATGAGGTCTCTAGCTGGATCGACTTCTTGATGGAAAAGTAGAGCCTCTGAGCTGAACCGGGAGTGGTGTGGGAAACCCATGACTGGATATATCCAAGCCCTGATGTTTAAAACAAGCTTTGCTTTCAACTAGGAACAGGTGTCTGGTGGACTGACTGGGACAGCGGCGCTGGGATCAAGGACATTTCCTTGTTCTGAATTGTCTCCTGAAGTGAGAAAATACAGGCTGTACATGCCCGCGGAGCTCACTGCTTCTCTCACATACAAACCTTGTGGACATTTGTTATATATATATAAAAAGAAAAGCAGCCACTAACATGTCACACAAAGAGCATGTTGAGATTGTGAACTTCGTTGCTCCCTTACACTTCTGGTGAACAAATGCACTCTTGGCTTCTTGGGTAGTGCTGTTCCCAACATGCACAGCAGGAGAGACACAGAGCAGATGAAAGGTAAGCTAACAACAGCGGGCCCTGTTCTGCAGAACCACCAATGGAGCAAGTTCAGGGAAGAGATTCTTGCCCCTTCCTTCTTCCCATCTCTTTATCTTATGCAACCCCATTCCATTATCTTATGTATTATCTTATGCATCCCCATTCCATTATCTTATGCAGGGGTCATTTGGGGGGGACGCCATCCCCCCGGGTGAGGTGCGGGAGGGCAGGGCCTGGAGCTCCCTGCTGGTGCCCGCTGGAAGTCGCCGCCAGCTGTGGGGAGGACACACTTCCGGTGATGTCAGGGGGTGTGGCATATGCTAATGAGTTATGCTAATGAGTCCCCCAAGCTCTTTTTCTACGAAATGACCCCTGATCTTATGTATTATCTTATGCGTTCCCCATTCCATTATCTTATGCATTATCTTATGCATCCCTATTCCATTATCCTATGAATTATCTTATGTATTCCCCATTCCATTATCTTATGTATTATCTTATGCGTTCCCCATTCCATTATCTTATGTATTATCTTATGCATCCCCATTTCATTATCTTATGTATTATCTTATGCATCCCTATTCCATTATCTTATGCATTATCTTATGTGTTCCCCATTCCATTATCTTACACATTCCCAAGTTCTGCAAAGGGATTTTTGCCCCTTCCTCCTGTGCATTCCCCATTCCTCCCCCATGCTGCTGTGAAGGAAACAATGGCTGTGGTCACACACGCTAAATAATCCACTTTCAATCCACTTTTCAACTGGCAAAATCCAGTTGGAAAGTGAATAGAAAGTGGATTATTTAGTTTGTGTGACCACAGCCAATGTGTGTTTGGGATGTCTATGGGAGCTGTAGGCAGAGGGTAGAATCAAGAGAAATCACGCCCCCCCCTCCCAGCATGACTTTTTGGGATTTATTCCGGTTGTGTCTGGTGAGGTGAATGCTGCCGATTCCCTCTTCTTTTCTAGCACCCCTTTCCTTAGACACACACACACACAAAAGAAAAGAAAGGAAAGAAAGAAAACAACGTGCAGGACTGTGAATAGAAGCCGCTAGACAGAACGACATTCTACCGACTCCACCAGAACTTCAATCTATGCAAAGAGTTGACGCGCTCAAGACCCCCCGCGCACAGCCTATATTGGCATCTCCCTCTCTGAACAAAGCAATTAAATGGGAACTGCCGAGAGTCTTACGGGTTCTCCTTTTGGCCCAGCGGTTCCAGGGCCACCTTTGCCTCCCTTGATGCCGGGGCTGCCAGGGGCTCCATTGGTTCCTTTCGGTCCCTTTGGGGGGAAGAACAAACAGAAGGAGAAATCAGAATCCCCCGGAGAGAAGCAACCACGTGGACGACAAAGACCATGTTGCAGTGTCGCCAGTGCTGGGCACCGGCCATTACAAAGAGCCCAATCCACCCCAAAAGGCCTGGGCATGATTCACGGTCCTCTCTTCCTCCTCCTCCCTGAATCAGCCAGCAAGTCATTTTCACCACAGCAGCAGGGAAGGCCCTGCTTGCCCTCAGCTTTTCCCGGCCCTCTTCCAAGTCCCTTCTGGCTTCTCAAAGAAGGCTGGGGTTTCGAGGGTATGCTCATCACTGATCAGGGCTCCAACAGACAAGAAGCCTGGGATTCCTGGAATGGAGCACTCAGGACATTTTCCTCCTAAAAGCCAGGAGCCCAGGGCCCCAATTTGGGTTGGGGCTGGCACAAAAGGTGGTGGTGGTAAGGATTCTCCCCACTGCTTTTGTCATGACACCTGATAAGGACACATACATAATTCCCCGAGAGGACAAACAGTGACTTCCTAGGGCCTTTTCAGATCGGGAAAGCAGCACTGGTGGGTGGAGGGGGACGGTTTATGGCAACATCTGCATCGGGTTGGTGCGACACCGTATGATCTGCAAAGTTGTCCTCCCTCTGGAAAATCCCAAACATTAGATCACTCGCAGAGTCTAGTTGAGTCCCTTCTGGTTCCAGATTACTAATAGGATTACGAGTTTATCATAGCTTCTCTAAAAGAAATATTACCAGGTCATTATGAAAATAGTTTCAAGCAGGTAGCTGTGGTGGTGGAAAGAGCTATCAAGTCACAGCCAATTGATGCCGACCCCTCATGGGATTTTCAAGGCAAGAGACATACAGAGGGGGTTTGCCATTGCCCTCCTCTGCGTAGCAGCCCCAGGTTTCTCCCATCCAAGTACGAATGACCTTGCTTAGCTTCTGAGATCTAATTAGGCTGGGCTAGCCTGGGCTGTAATAAGCCGTACCCCAGGGAAGATTACCCTGGGGAATTCTATAGGTCTTTAAGGTGCAAGAGGACTCAAGTGATGTCTTATCTGGTCATTAGTTGACTAAGTCCCTGTTCTCATGAGCTTGGTAATGGTGAGGCAGCTACTGAGCATGTCCTGTGGATTCCAAGAGAATCAACAATTTAAAAACCCCAAAAGATGCATACCCTGCCTCCTCTTTCTCCAGGAGGCCCTGGTGGTCCGCTACGGCCAGGTCGGCCAGGATAACCCTGAAAAAGAAAGGCAGAGGGCAATGGTCACACATCATACCAACTTTGTGTGTGTGTGTTTGTATGTATGTATGTATGTGTTCAAAGGGCCATACCTTTACTCCTCCGTCTCCTGGCGGTCCTTGATCCCCCGCACCTCCAGGATAGCCATCGGCACCCTAGGGAGGAATTCAACAGAAGCCCAATCACAACACTAACCACAATCTATCATCTCAGAAAACAAAACAGAAGCAGCAGGAATGGGCTGTGGGATATCACAGACTGTAACATGGACCTCCTGTGGTTCAATAAAGCTTCCCTTTCCATCCCTGTTTGATGCTCACATCTGCAGGAACCTCTTTTTCTCTTGCCATGAGCCATGAAGCTCAGGAAGGGCATTGCACACTGAGTTCAAAGAGGATCCAAAGTGCTCACTCCGCGTGCTCTCTATTGCGAGTATAACTGCTACCATGGGACTTCATCCCAGATGTTCAGAGGAACCCTGTGGTCCAACGCCATGGCTGGAGAAAATGTTGCAGTGCTTGTTCTTACCCTGTCCCCTGGGTCGCCTTTGCAGCCAGGAGCTCCAATACGTCCAAGCTTGCCCTAGAAAGATCCAACAGAGGACAGAGGAATATGATTAGAAAAATAGTTGAAGATGTTTGAAGAGACACATGAACCTGCTGTATACTGAATGAGACCACTGGTCCATCAAGGTCCATATTGCTTACTGAGACAGGCAGCGGCTCTCCGAAATCTCAGGCGAAGCTCCTTCATGTCACCTACTGCCTGGTCCTTTTAACTGGAGATGCCAAGGATTGAACCTGGGACCTTCTGTGTGTAAAGGATTTTCTGCTGAGCCACAGGCCCTCCCTTCTGTCTACTCACAAAAGATCCAGCCCTAATTAGTTGATTATTTGGACTGTTTGCTACCAAGATGTTCGGGAAAGACATTTAGGGATGTGACTGAATTTCGTGATAACTCTCATTCAAGTTGAAAACTTGAGTTACCTTTTATGGTTCCTCCACACTCAAGAGAAAACTGCATTTCCCCCGAGACCATATTATTAAAAGATACTGGATAGAAGCAACGGCCTTGGACATATCTGAGGCCACAACACGGCCCAGGGATGGGAGCAGGCTGTGTCATGCCTCCCCAGTCGAAGGAAGATATTTTAACTTTAAATACTTTCCCTTCCTGCTGGGGCTCATGCCCCCTCTGCGGCGTGACTCCCCAGTGAAGGGAAGGTATTTAAACTTTAAATGCCTTCCCTTCACTTGGAGTCACACCGCGAAGGCGGCACTTGCCTCAGAGTTAAGGGCAGGTATTTAAAGTTAAAATACCTTCCCTTCACTGGGAAGTCGCACTGCAGAGGTGGCATGAGCCCCAGAGGGAAGGGACGGAAGGGCATTTAAAGTTTAAACACCTTCCCTTCACTGGGGAAACCTGCGGCACAGGTAATATATCAGCTAATAATATCAGGTAATAATATCGGCTTTTATTCGGGGGTGGCTACTTCAGTAGCCGAATACAGTTCTACGGTATTTTTTTGGTACTTATTTGACTCAGTATATACTGAGCGCACTTCCCAGTCTTCTTCACCATGCACAAAATTGACAAGTGGAAAGAAAACACACATTTGTACTTCCATCCAAATTTTGCACGCTTAAGGCAGCTTCCCGCACCAATGGGTGTGCAGCCAGTTCTGTGGGAAGGGGGGATGCAAATGGAAATAATAAATAAATAAAATAAAATAAACTGAAAAGGCAAGAACGTTAGAAGAGCACTGCTGGATGAGACCAGTAGTTCATCTGACCCTACTGAGCTCCCAAGATCTAATGAGACTGGACTTGCCTCGGCCAATCAGGTCAGGGTCTCTCCGCTACTACTTTACATAAAGCAAGGAGCAGGGTGATGGAGCACCTCAACCGTAAGACTGGGTGGTTGAGGAAGATTCGGAGGATGCCCAGTGATGCAACAAGGGTGATGTGTTTTAGCAGCATTGCCAGACGCCATCGCCCTATGCAAAAGTGGCAGCGGACTAGTGCTTGAAAGGACAAATGATATAACTCATGACACAAAAGAGTCACCTCAACTTTCATTACATACCTTCTGTCCATTTGTGCCGTTCCTTCCAGCTAAGCCACTGGCCCCCTGAAATAAAAGAAGCAGAGCACCGCATCAGAAACAGCTTGTCCCAAATATTTAGAGCTGGGGTAGCAGGTAACGTTGGAAGGCTGGGCCTTACCTTTCGGCCGTCTCCACCAAATTCACCCTGCAAAAGAAAAAGGGAAGAACAATGAGTCTGGTTGAATTACTTGCTTAAGGTCAGTACCAATGGAATGGCAGACTGTCAAACGGTATCATGTCATTTCTACAGGTGAGCCCTGATCTGGAAAATGCCAAAAACTATCCTCCAACACAGACTTGCAAGCCGATTTCCACGCAAACCCTCCCATCGCATATACCCATTTGTTGAAAATAACTCAAAGTAAGCATTTCTTCAAATACTTGTTCCCGCAAAACATTCTGGAGTAATGACAAATTGCCAGCTGCAGAGTTCTTGGTAGGACAACAGGTCACATAAGAATTGTTCCTATTTCCTGATTGATCTGTGACAACTTGCCAAACAGGGACAAACAAAACCTCACTTTGACGATTTACGGAAACCTATCATTTGATTTCCCTTCTGTAAAATAAAATTCACTGACATTTACATTGGCGGCATCTTCAAAGATGCCAGTCTTGAAACGAACAGAGTACAATCTCTTTTTGAAAAACACAATACACTTTCGTTTTCTGAAGAACAGGAAAAAAACCGCTTTACCTTTTCTCCTTTTAGCCCATGAATTCCCTAGAAGAGGGGGAGGGGAGAAAGGAAAGTCAGTTAGTGCTTATTGAAATGAGTTAATGATACCCATCTTCATGTTTACAACAGATATAGCATTATGACCAGGCTGGACAGATTTCAGTCAGGGATTTAATATATATATTTGCTCTAAAGCCGGTCTGGTCTGATGCGCCTTAGGGGAAATAAAGCCCTCCCAAGATCTAGGTGCATTTCCCACTTGGCACCCAGTTTGCAAACCTCATCCAAGGCCGCTTCCCCATATCTGAGAGTGTCAGATTCAAGGGACCAGCAGGCTTTCTGTTGAATCTCCTTCAACCCTGAATATGTGATCCACTCCAAGTTGAGTGGGATCAAATTATTCCTTTCCTAGCAGGAACGGGACTGGTTTCTTCTGCCGACCCTCAGTTCTGTATGAAAATATTCATAACATGAACTATAATAAGTAGAATACACTACCTAATGTGCCATATATTTAAGTGGTGGTGGAAAGTGCCATCAGGTCTCAGTCAAATTATGCCCCCACCCACCATGGGGCTTGTTGTGTCCTGACCCAGCCATGTGCGCGATCCAGTTTCGGCCGGTTCCGCATATGGTCAGGTGAAGTACCTGAGCTTCGCTCCCAAACACAATAGATGTTCGGATCCTAGTTCCCTGCCAATCGGGAACCTAGGGTCCCTAGGAATAATCTAATCACTGTCGATAGACCATTCACGGGTGTTGGGGGTGTGTGGGTGTGTTTTCCTTGGGGCATATAAGCCGGCCTGCGAGCCGGCTACTTTGCCTTGTTCCGTCCGAATAAAAGTCTTAGAGCTGAAATCACGAGTATGTCTAAGGACTTTTCAGGGCTTTTAAGGCAAGAGACATTCACAGGTGGTTTGCCATTGCCTGTCCCGGTGTAGCAACCCTGGACTTCTGGGGTGGTCTCCCATCAGAGTACTGACCCGGGCTGACCCTGCTTAGCTTCTGAGATCTGACAAAATCAGCTACCCTGGGCCAGCCAGGTCAGGGTAATATTTATAAATCTTGTGCTCAACCGTCATACTTCTTAAGATGAGAGCATCATGTCTGCAGCTCATATTTATTCTATATCACACCAGCACACGTCGTCTCTTCTTACAAGGACCATCTTTCTTTTCGGCAAATACCCTGCCTCCGTGTGTCTGGTTTCAATTCCGTATCGGAACTGATTTCACTGAACACCCATCTTCTGGATTTCAGAGCATTCTGAATTCTGATTCCTCTGTTTAAAATTCTTCTGCCTTCTCTTTCTCCCCCAAAGGGAGCCAAAGTGGGTTATCACAGAGTTTAAGAACAACGCTTGTAAAACACATCTGCAACAGTGTAAGCACGGGTCAGGTGAAATGAAATCTGTGGCCTCTAGGGGACCTCAAAAGCCTTCCTGAACAGTCTGATCTTACAAACCCTCCTCAAGGTGAAAAGGCAAGTGCCCTCCTAACCTACCCACAGGATAGTGACAGGGGGAGGGGGATGGCAGGGAGGAACAGCTAAGAAGGCTGGAGGGGCCACCTGGACTGATACAAGGAGAGACGGTCCTTTGGCCACACAGACCTACTCAACTTAGGCCCCAGTCACACGGGCCGGATATCGCGGGGGGAGGCGTGGCTGTTTGCCCTGCAGCGAAATAATGTGCAACTGCACGATCAGGCATCCCCTCGCGGTCCCGTCGAGGTCCCGTGGTTAGGGGGGAGGTGCCAATCACACCACGCGCCAAAGAAGCGGCGCAGCACGGCAAACGGGGTTGTGTGTGTTTTTTTTAACTGAAGTATGCGCATGCCCCGTTGGGTGCTTGTGCGCATTCTTGGAGACTTCGAAAAAACCCCACCTTTTCGCAATGGGGCATGGGCGGACGCCCGATGCCACTGGAAACGCGATCAGACCCCCGCCCTTGCCCCGCGGTTTCCGGAAACTAGTACCTCCGAGGTACTAGTTTTTTACCGCGCGTCTTCGGTGGGAAGCCTCGGGTGAGCCACGGGAGCTCTACGCTTCCCAAATGTGGCGGTGAGATCACGCCCGGAAAATCCGCCTATCTTCCGTCCCTCTAGCGTGGCCAATGCTCGGTGTGACCGGGGCCTTAGTATAGGATTCATATGTCTCTCCCACCTTCTACCTACCAATAGGGAAGAGACGGGGGGGGGGGGATGGCCGGGAAGAACAGCTAAGGACGCTGGAGGTGCCACCTGGACTGATACAAGGAGAGACAGTCCTTTGGCCACACAGACCTACTCAACTTAGGCCCCAGTCACACGGGGTGGATATCGCAGGGGGGGGGGAGGCGTGGCTATTTGCCCCGCAGCGAAATAACGCGCAACTGCGAGATCAGGCATCCCCTCGTGGTCCTGTGGTTAGGGGGGAGGTGCCGATCACACCACGCGCCAAAGAAGCGGTGTGGCACGGCAAACGGGGTTGTGGTTGGTTTTTTTTAAACTGAAGTATGCGCATGCCCCGTTGGGTGCTTGTGTGCATCCCTGGAGACTTCGAAAAAACCCCACCTTTTCACAATGGGGCATGGGCGGGCGCCGGATGCCACTGGAAACGCGATCAGACGCCCGCCCTTGCCCCGCGGTTTCCGGAAACTGGTACCTCCGAGGTACTAGTTTTTTACCGCGCGTCTTCGGCGGGAAGCCTCGGGTGAGCCATGGGAGCTCTACGCTTCCCAGATGTGGCGGTGAGATCACGCTCGGAAAATCCGCCTATCTTCCGTCCCTCTAGCGTGGCTAATACTCTGTGTGACCGGGGCCTTAGTATAGGATCCATATGTCTCTCCTACCTTCTACCTACCAATGTCTCTCCTACCTTTCTGTGTACTGTGGATCCTTTCCCCCAGACTGTTCTCTCACATTCCAAATCCAGTACAAAACCTGAGGTGCACTGGACTGCAGTGGATATTGATTTGGGCCCCCACTTGGGTGGTGGCCAAGATCGTGAAAGTGATTTGTCAGCACTGCAGCCATTCACAGCAGGATAGTTTCCTACCATAGATCCTGTTAAAGGACCACTTCTTTTCCCAGCTCCTTTGCCCCACAGGATTGAGAGCACCCCTCGTCATAATGCCACTGAACAAGGGCTAATTTGGCAACTGGTGAACTGCTAAGATGAATTTAACCTCAACTCCCTCCGTGTTCCCTTGCTTAGTTAACAGAGCGATGACAAGGACAAAATTCCGTACCTTGGGACCGGGATGTCCGATTGGTCCTTCAATTCCTGGGTCACCCTAAATGAAAAAGATACCGTGTTATTAACTAGTAGTCATTTATCAAACATTTAGTGCTTTTTTCATTCATTCCCTGCATACTTTGCCCCGTTCGTTTGTTGCCTCTTTCATTCTATAAGTTGCTGGAGACACAAGGCTGTTCTGGAGAGATTCCAATCTGAAATAGGCATGGCCTCCCCCCAGTGCACATTTATTTTGGCCCATTTGTTAAATCCAACATCCTGTTCAGCCGCGGCAAATGAGGCAACTGAGCTCCCTCTTTCAAACTGGATTCAGCTTCCTGGAAAAAGCCATTGTCTGGGCGATTCTGCATCTAGCACTCGCTCCACATTTTCTCAACTGGGAGGGAAAAGTGCAGCTCAAAATAGGGGGGGGGGGCAACGCCGTACTGACTGCAAAGTCACCCCTGAATGGCCATAAACCGGCCATAAATGATGCGAAAGGTACCATAAAATACAGGATCAAAGAACTCGAAAGTGGCGTGGAGTGTGGAAGCTACCATAAAACCCAATAATCAAAGGAAGTGAAAGCGGCATGCAATGCAGAGGGGAATTTCTGTTCCAATGTGGGTTTTGTAAAACAAGGGAGGGAAAAGCCAATTCAGAATCAGCCTCTGTCTCCAGTGCGATGCTGTCCACATATTTCTGGGACAGACCACCCTCAACTCCTTAAAGCATTTGTAAAAACACAAGCATACACACACTTAGGATAAAAGATTTAGTAGCAGGAGGGTAGTTGGGTTGGTCTGTAGTGCAAGAGCTCAATTCAAGCCTATTCGTACCTCAAAGACCCCAAAGATTTTGGTGGTATAAGCTGTCAATAAAGGGAGCTTCGACACTTGAAAGCTTGTATTTGTTGGTCTGTAAGGTGCTAGCAGTTCGAAAGCAAGAAATTGCAAGTAGATAAATAGGCACCACTTCGGTGGGAAGGTAACAGCGTTCTGTGTGCCTTGGTGTTTAGTCATGCTGGCCACATGACCACGGAAACATCTTCGGACAGCGCTGGCTCTTCGACTTTGAAACGGAGATGAGCACCGCAACCCTAGAGTCGGATTTGACTGGCTTTCGAGCAAGGGAACCTTTACCTTTACCTTAAGGTGCTAGTAGATGTGAGTCTAGATTTAGTATCACCATGGCGTTCTGTAATCACCAAGCATCCATTCAAAATTCTCGCAAGCACCAAGATCAAAAGTATAAAAGGCTGTTATACGTTTGAGCCTTGTGCTTGCAAGAACTTTGAATGGACGCTTGGGTAGATATGTAGAAGAATGGGCATGTAGGACAACATTCTGTTCAGGCTTTGAAAAAGTTTGCGAAGGAAACGGAATCATAGGCAGGCAGGCTCCGTTAGACGGAATGGAGGTGTCCTCTCATCTGTCTACTGCCCACGTTATGAGAAAATATACAGCCAAGTCTCATCGAACTTAGAAGTCTGTGAAAGAGACACTATGAGGATAAGTTTCTAACGGCACAAAGCACTTTGATTCTACTTGAGAGTTCAACGTATCGACTGACTTACTGAAGACTGAATTACTTGCTGTGGGTATGTGTTATGGGATAGGAATTTGATGTGATATGAGATAATTTGTAACGATATGATAACAGAGTCACAAAAGTTTCATAGCAATTTTTTTCATGGCTTATATTCTTGTTTGACCCACCTGGAGGCTGACTGGCATCCCTATTATCAGATATGATCCTAAATATCTGAATGTTCTGTTGGAATGTGCAAGGTCTATAGTGCAGGCTTATGAAGCAGACCTGAAGATCACCCTATGGGCGGGACAGATGAAGGACTGGTAGCATAGCTAGACTAGGGACTTCCCACTTTTTCAAACAGTGTCCTTGCTGTCTCCTGATTGGCTCTTCTGGAGACTTCCTGCTCCTGCAGAGCTTCCTTCTTGTTGTCGTTTCTCCTTCAGCAGTTAGGCCAGGCAGTTAAGGTTCTCTCTCTTCCATGTTCTATAACAGTTTTTTCCCCTTTAATAATCCTACTTATTTTTCTCTAAACAGTCAATGCTCCACTTCCTTTGCATATTTAAACTCTGCCAACATGTTCAATATCCAAAATTGCTTCAGTGGTTCACACAGCATATGATCAATGGAGGAATTATTTGGATTCTCACATTTTCCAGGTACTCACCTGTCGTCCTTTCACACCAGCCACTCCGGGGGCTCCCATGTTTCCTTTTGCACCCTAAAAGAAAAAATAAAAATCAGTGAGTATGACATTTCTTCCCTATTTCCACTGCAAGAAAACAGCAAATAAATTTAGTAGTGGCCTTAGGCAATACCACACTGAAATGCAGAGCTAATATGGGCACATGGACAGACTTCACCAGAAACTGAATCAGTTTCTCGTAGGGGCACAACATGACCTAACAGCACGCAGGCAGAAACCTGCCCTTCCTGCAACCAGGGTCAAACTGCTGTGGTGATGAGTGAGAATGGCTCTCTACAGATGTGGGTTTGTAGTTCCTACTACTTCAAGAAGACAACCAGTTGGATCCAACTTGCTTTTCCACTGATGACAAACCAATGGAGCTGATCCCCTTTGACCATCATGGGATGTACACCTCACTGAAAAAAAACCATGTGGGATGGAGTAGTTGTGTAGTAAGGATGGGAACTGGATGTGATTGGGTAAAAAACTGGTGGGATCCAGCCCATTTTTCAAATAATGCACAGCAACAGTGAAATAATCACAGCCAACAGACCAATACTGATTACAGAAATCAGTCCATCAGAGACCATCTGCTCTGTGCCTCACCAGCAAGGGTCCACCAAGGGCCAAAGTTCTCTGAGTACATAGTTGTGTTATGCCAGTAAGCCAAGGTGCTCCTGGATTGGTCCCAGGCCTCTGGGAAGGCCAAAGCAGCCCTTCAGCAGGGCCCCCTCCTCACTCTTTCTTTTGCTCCCAATATATATATATGGGGACACCTTGAGTTTGTGAAATGCATCTGCTGCCCTTGCAAAACTGGCTTTCCAACAAGCACATGAGAAGGTCAATAGGACCAGTCCTCGGTGGCTTCCTAGCCTTTTAACTTCAGCAGCAATGGCCTCAAATCAAGGCGCAAACATCAGGCCCTGGGAAAGTCACAGGTAAGAATGAGTGCTGCCATCCATGTTATCAACCTTTTATGCACATTTCTGTTTTTGAAATGAAGCATCCGGTAGACGTTCTATTACTCTGCAGAATCAAGGTGTGACTGGTTTTTTTCCCTCAGCTGAGGTGAACAAAATTATCTCAGCAGTCTACAATCTCTGCTGTAAACCTCCTTGAGCAGGACTCTGGAGAGGCAGCTTATACATTTTCTAAATATATAACTATCTGAAATACACAGAGGTCATTTCGGGGGGGAATGCGGGGTATCGCAGTTCCCCTGGGTGAGGTACGGGGGGCGGGGCACATGACGATTGGGGGCGGGGGGTGTGGCCTTATGACACACTTCCGGTGATGTCAGGGGGTGTGGCCTTATGACACACTTCCGGTGATGTCAGGGGGTGTGGCCTTATGACACACTTCCGGTGATGACAGGGGGTGTGGCATATGCTAATGAGTTATGCTAATGAGTTCCCCTAGCTCTTTTTCTATGAAACGACCCCTGGAAATACACAAATATACTTGGAGGGAGTGGGCTGAGCTGGGGATGAGTCATCCTCACAGCCGTTACCTTACAAACTTGCCCTCATACTCCTAGTTTTTTTTCTGTCACCCACACATTTCATATTGAAAGATGTCATTCAACTTACCTTTTGTCCTCGGAAACCCTTGGGACCAGCTGGGCCTTCAATTTCTAGGCAGCGCATTTTGTAGCACTGAAAATGAATTAGAACAAAAATTCGATGACGTTTTCATCATTAAGGGCTTGATATATTTTATCATTTCAGGAAAAGGACCCTGGAACTATGAGGGGAAGGTGACATCTGAATGGCAGACCTTCAAGTTTCGTTCACCTCAGAGGTCTACTCAACGACTCTGAGGTTTCTACTCCAGTTCTGTCATACATTTCCAAGGAGGAAGGCCAAAATTGTGGCCATGTACGCGAGTGTCGCTTTCTAGGAACGTCAAGAAGGTATCTCTTCTGCTGGAACTTGTCTTTTGAGCCGAGCACCTACTGAACGTGGCCTTTTGTCATTCTTCTTTTCTCACTCCTAAAGAGCAATTCATATGAGAACACTATAGCACATGGAATGCTGGGTATCCAACAATCTACAGACCTTGAACAGTGGGATTTTCTGCTTTCCCTTCCCACTGAGGGCCATTGATTCCCGTGAAATTTTGTTTCTGGGTGGGCAAGTCAGTGGACCCTCAGGGAGAATATAAGGGGCAAACTGGGGGTCTATAGTTGGAGGGGAACTGACAGAAATACCCTCCCCCCCGAATACCTTTGTCTTTGACATATTTGAATTGCTGCTGTTGTATTTGGCGGTTGCAAAATCATAGATCTAATCACGGGTGGAGCTGAAAACTGAAAATTTACTCTTTCCATAAAAACCAAATAATTCACCACTGCAGTGTAGCAGTCTTTGCAGGAGATGCTAACCCACGGGTGTCGAACATAAGGCCCGTGGGCCAGAACCGGCCCGCCCAGAGCTTTTATGCAGCCCGCGAGCAACTAGTGCAAGGGAAAGAACAGGAGACTGCACAGGGGGGAAGTGGGCAGAACCACTCTGATTGTGGCTTCAGCACGGCGGATCAACCTCGTCTGCAGCAGTCAAAAGCAGCGTGGGAGCGTCTGCCCAGTGCTGCACTGCTGGCTCTCTATTCCGCTCATACGGGTTTTCCTTTGCACCCTCTTCTCAGCCCATGGGGCCTTGCAGTGAGGAAACAACAACTGGGAGTCTTGCCAGCTGCTGTCCTTTATACAGTTTATATCTCTGGTACCTGGCATTACATTTTATGGCACACATGGCCCAGTCTGACAAAGTTACATTTATGTCAGATCCGGCTCTCATGAGTTTGACACCCCTCTGCTAACCATTATTCAGTTAAGATCAAATGACAAAGTATCTGGAGTTACAAAGTCTATCATGGGCTGATCCATAAAACAGGTGTGTAAACCCCATCTCATGATTGTTTTCTTGCTAAGCTATTAGTAAGTCCTACTAAGTTTAATGGCATTTACTCCTAAGTGTGTATATCCAGGACAGCACAGTTTGTCCGTTAGAAGCTCACAGCCGCACATGTGGCTCTATGGCGCTCTGGATGTACTTTGGGGGGTGGGGTGGCATTTTTCACCAATACATAGAGCTATGCTGTTGGGAAACATGAGGTTGGATCTGTATTCCGCCCTCCCTGCAAGCGGGCTCAGAGTGGATCACATCATAAACAGATAAAAACATACATTCATAAAATATTGGCATGCTTACCTCTCCGTAGGCTTCATGTTTCTGTTGGGGGAAAGGATACAGAGAAAAATTCAAATCATTACAGAAAGACACAAAGCAGACACAACTTTCCCCCTGGTATAGATGTGAGTCTCAGAATATAGTATTTATTTATGTATTTGATTTATACCCCACCCTCCCCACCAGGGCAGCCTCAGGGTCTTCTGGGTAAACATGGGTTCTCACACTAAACTTGGGATTTTTTAGCACCTCCGCTTTCTCCTTTCAATGGCTGCCCAGAAATCTTTATATGGAAGTCCTCTAGCAAACAACTGAAGGACCGGGGAGTGAAGGTTCAAGGGGATTTCCCAATCTCTGGCTTCTGCCTTTGGGTTCTCATTCTTGATTCTGATAGCCATAAAATGAGGCACCATGCCCTTTGGCGTTCTGCTGTCCGCCATTTCAGTTCTTGCCAGGAAAACCCAAATTCTGTCAACAATTTGAATTTTGCTGATGAGGGAAGTATTATTTTATTTTTTTATATTTATTTCTCTTTAAATTTATACCCCGCCCTCCCCGAAGGCTCAGGGCAGCTCACAAGGGGCACAAATGCCCAAGTTAAAACATTAAAACAGTACAGAATAATATCACTGGGTGAACTTGGGCCAGCCACCCTTCATCAGCCTAACCTCCCTCACAGGGTTGTTGTGAGGATAAAGTGGAGGAGAGGAGAATGAAGCAAGCTGCTTTGGGTGGGGAAGGCAGGGTATAAACAAAATAAATAAAATAAATATCATGCGAAGTTGATCTTTTTTCAATCATTTTAACCCAGGCCTTGTGGCCTGGAAAAAACCTTCAGGAAGGGGGTTAAAACTGGGAAGTGAGGAGTCACTTAGGGACACACGAATGAGCGTTCACAGACACACCCATGGCCACCAAACAACAATCGCGCCACGCTGGGAGCTCATTGCCCCCCTGTGAAGTTGATCTTTTTGCATTACTTTTTGCATTACTGAGAGCCGGCATGGTGTAGTGGCTAAGAGTATTGGACTATTATCTGGGAAACTGGGGTTCGAATCCCCGCTCGTGCCATGGAAGCTCACTGGGTGAACTTGGGCCAGCCACCCTTCCTCAGCCTAACCTCCCTCACAGGGTTGTTGTGAGGATAAAGTGGAGGAGAGGAGAATGAAGCAAGCTGCTTTGGGTGGGGAAGGCAGGATATAAACAAAATAAATAAATATCATGCGAAGTTGATCTTTTTTCAATAATTTTAACTCAGGCCTCGTGGCCTGGAAAAAACCTTCAAGAAGGGAGTTAAAATTGGGAAGTGAGGAGTCACTTATGGACACACGAATGAGCGTTCACAGACACACCCATGGCCACCAAACAACAATCACACCACGGAGTGCAACGTGTCTCAGTAGACTCATCCAAATAGTCCAGGCAAGACCGTCCCTTTAGAAACTGCATTCATCAGAATATAAGAAGAGCACTGCTGGATCAGACCAGTGGTCCATCTAGTCCAGCATCCTGTCTCACACAGGGGTCAATCAGTACCAAGGCCTTCCCCTGATGTTGCCTCTTGGCACTGGCTTTCAGAGGTTTACTGCCTCTGAATGTGGTGTTTCCCTTTAGTCATGATAGCTAGTCGCTCCTAACAGGCCTATCCTCCATAAATCTGTCTAATCCCCCTTCAAAGATATCTATGCCTGTGGCCATCAATAATAAGAACAGAAGAACACTGCTTCTGAAGAGACAGATTTCAACCCTTACCATAACTTGGATGATCCTATCAATGGTGTCCGTATCGACTTCGATGGAATCTTTCTTTGTGGTGGCGTAGTTGTTACGGTAAAGTTCATGTGGGGAGTTGGCGATCTCTCGGAGTCCGGTTTCGTAGATATTCTGACTCGGGGCCACCGCAAAAAGCTTGATCCCTGCGTCTCGCGCTCTTTCGGCCTGCATCTTCATCCCTCCACAGGGACTGCCCGTCACATGACCGTCGGTGATCACAACCGCGTAATTCACTCCCTGAGCCGCCTTGGTAAGTATCTGTTCCGTCATGTTAGAGATGGCACAATCCGTAAAAGTGCCTCTGCCAATGTACTGAATGTTCTCCAGCTGGGTTAAGTAGCGTCGCTTGTCGTTGGTGAATTCGCTGTAAATCTTCACCACATCGGAAAAGTGAAGTCCCCCGAATTGCCAGGTGATTGACACTTGGCTCTGGTAAAGTTCATTCTCTAGCCTAGTGATGAATTCGGGGATAAACTGCTTGATGTGATCCACCAGACTCTGGATGGGCATTGTCTGCAGAGCGACACTCTCCGAGGTGTCAACCACAAAGTACACATTGATTGGGCAATCAGTTTTATCTGTACAGAGAGACAGAGACAGTGAATGTACCAAGGAGACCACAATGCGATGATGGCAGATGTCAACACTGGGGTTCGATATGGTGGGTCTGTACTAATTCTTTTCCCATAAAGGAACAAAGTGCTTTTTAACAGAAAATCCCCGGTTTCTGATGCTTTTCTAATTTTTCATGAGGCGATATTGTTCACTGAGGCACCTTACAGCTTCTTGTGGTAAGACATGGCCAGAAATGCTACATCTCCAAACATGGCAAGTGTTTATCTAACTACCTGTGTCCCTTACGATCTTGAAATGTGTTAGAAGAAAAAGAGTAGGTTTTTTCTCCCCAACTTTTCTCTACCTTAAGGAGTCTCAAAGTGGCTTACATCTCCTTCCCCTCCCCACACCAGGCACCTTGTGAGGTAGGTGGGGCTGAGAGAGTTCTGAGAGAATGGTGACTGGCCCAGGGTCACCCAACAGGCTTAATGTGGAGCACCGGGGAATCAAACCCTGTTCTCTGGATTAGAGTCTGCTGCTCCTAACCATTACAGCAAACTGGCTCTCAGAATGGAGAATATTCAGTTGAATTGCTCTGCACTTTACTTTGATTTTTTAAAGAACTTCCCCCTGATTTTTGCGCACACCACAGGGCTGAACTCCAAATCAGTTCCCAGCTGAAATGTTGTGCCTTCCATGAAACTGTTAAATGATATGAAATAAGCTGTGATTTCTATCAGTTTTATAATTGTTTTCATTGCATTTTCCTATAATGTTTTATTCATATTGCAAGCCGTAAGGGAGAAAGGCGGCTCTTAAATGCTTTAACTAAATAAATAAGCACCATTTCTGTTTCTTCTAATACCGTGTTACAGTCTGAGCCCTGCATATAATTTAAAACTGGTTGTGTATCTTGTGCAATGGATATCTTGACTCCACATAAGCTATCTACAATTTAGGCTACTATGTTCTGCAAGTGTAGCCACAGTATACACTTAAAATATATCTATGTAATTTCTTGAAATTGCCTCTTCTCTGTGTTAGCTTCTTCTCCCACATCCTTTAGTATTCATTTATGCAATTTCCCCAAATTTGGATCCTGCAATTTCGTCTCAGCTGTATTTGTGACCTAGAAGGAACTGGCTTGCCAGGGAAAAGAAACCTTATTAGTAGCATTGCCAGGTCTTACCTGTGTCCTGGCGGGGGGGCTCCAGCCTGGCTCCTGGGGTCTTCTGGCATGCACACCACGATGATGTCACCCGGAAGTGATGTCATCGCACCGGGCACGTCGTGTCGGGGGCGCTCTAGCATCTGGGTGAAAAACTCTATGGTCACCATAGAGTTTTTACCCCAATGCTAGAGCGTCCCCAACCCAACGTGCCCAGAGCAATGACTTCACCTTTGGGTGATGTCATCACGCCGGGCATGTCGAGGGCTCTTCGGGGGCTCCCCCCATTGGCCAGCTGGACGGTGACGGATTGAGGACCCGAAAGTGGGGGAAACCCTGCAACCATTGGGGGGGGGGATGGCAACCTTACTTATTAGCCAGAATGAGGCTCACTCTTGCATGTTCCCCACAAAGCAAAATCATGCCAATAAGTATGTCAGAGGGATTAGATGGGGTAGACTTTAAGCACTTTTACCTTCACAGGTAGATGGGACACGAGTTAGGTCGACATCATTTTGAGCAAGGAGGGGAACCACAGCTGAGTAGAGCAGAAAGGCTAAAAAGGCCTCGGAGAACATCTTGGCAATGCTCCTGTACCCGCTGAATCCTGTCAGGAGAAGAGAGAAACACAGAAGGGAAACTGAATGTGAGAGGCAAGTTGATTAAGACGGGGAGCATCCGGACGAAGCTAAAGATGAGCTGCCTGGTCTTCTGGACACAACCTGGATCGTGAAAAACCATGTCAGGGTTTCCCAGCATGGCGCCCGTGAGCTCCACAGAACCCGCGGACATGTTTCCTGCTGCCTGCCAAGTGTTGGTAGGAAGTGGGCGGGGCCAGGTGGGGCTTTTGCCCAGTGGAACTTCTGATTGGCCGGTGGAGATCTGATTAACTGTGCAGATTTTTTAAGACAGTGCTTCAGCAGCGGCTGCCGCCACAGCACCAGGCTCTTCACTGTATGACTGAAGATAAGCTATGCGTATTTTTAAACCTTCCTTTAATTTGATAAGGCAACCTGTTAAACAGAGATTCTGCCTGTAATGCTGAAGACTCACTCTTGGAGTTATGCACTCCCCGAGACTCTGTGGTTGGCTCCACCTTTTCTGGCAGCCATTTTGTGTTGCTGATCCTGCCTCTTGTGGCAACCATTGTGTGGTTGCACCCATCATCCAGTGTCAGAATTCCAAAGGTGCCTGCAGGTGTGAAAAGGCTGGGGATTCAGGAGGACTCCAGATCTACATCTATGAAGACCTCGATCTATAGTTTAGGGAGGGAAGGAGGGAGAGAGGGAGGGAAGGAGGGAGGGAGGGAGAAGAAAGAGAGAGAGGAAGGAAAGAAGGAAGGAAGGAGAAGAAAAAGAGAGAAGAAGGAAGGAAGGAGAAGGAAGGAAAGAAGGAAGGAGAAGAGAGAGGAAGGAAAGAAGGAAGGAGAAGAAGGAAGGAAGGAAGGAAGGAAGGAAGGAAGGAAGGAAGGAAGGAAGGAAGGAAGGAAGGAGGGAGGCCAATCTGGAACAGAGCATGTGACAATGTGTGTGGTCAGTAAGAAGCTTACCAATTCAGAACACAATCCAATTTCACGAATACTATGTAACTTCCCTTGTGAAGTGATGTTGACAGAAAACCGCTTGTACATTTCTCTTTATATTTCCATAAGTGAAAAGGTGAGGGTATGGTTGCCAGCTCTGGGTTGGGAAATTCCTGGACATTTGGAGGTAAAGCCTGGGAAGGGCTCGATCTGGGGAGTGGAGGGACCTCAGCAGGGTGCAACGCCATGGAGTCCACCCTCCGAAAGCAGCCATTTTCTGCAGGCGAACTGGAGATCAGCTGGAATGCCACAAGATCTCTAGCCCCCCTAGGCTAGAAACATATTCTCCCCCGGAAAAGCTGGAACTTCACAGAGGGGGTCAAGGAACTACTCTCCCACAATCCCCCTGTAGCTACCTGCCTGATCCCAAGCACAAGTGAATGCACACTTGACATCTGGTTTCACGGTTGCTTTTTAAGGGTCTACCTGGCAAATCTTCCTGAACGACACAGGCCGATTTCTTCTAATTGTTTATGGATTCACCTAAACCATCTTGGTTCAGAAAGCACAAAACGCAAGCCGAAACACATTATACACGAATAATACAGCAAAGTCAAGAGACACAGCACCCACAGCACCCATCTGTGCGAGCAGATGATTCTTCTGCATCTCTAAAGTGGGAGGGCTTCTAATGTCCTCCTGGCCCCATTGGTGGACCTCCTGATGGCACCTGGTATTTTTGGCCACTGTGTGAAGAGTGTTGGACTGGATGGGCCTTTGGCCTGATCCAACATTGGCGTCTCTTATGTTCTTAAGCCCCGAGAGTTCTCCCTGGTGACTTCTTCAAAGGGCTCAGAAAGGTTCAGGTGAGGAGAACCTGAAATGTGTTTTCTGTCAAGATCATAAGCTGGCTCAGTGAAAGGTTGTGTCTTTTTACAGAGAGCTTTTGAGCCTGCAGACCTCATGCAATGAACAGATTTGCCTTATGCAGCAGTAGAGGCCTCCCTGTTAAATTGTGTCTGATTTTTCCGTTTTGTTTCTTCCTCCCTTTATTTACAGTTTACAATATCTCCAGGTGACAGAGATCAGTCCCCCCTTGTGATAACGGTTGCTTTGTACCCTGCTGGGGCCCCTCCCCTTCCCAAACCCCACCCTCCCCAAGCTCCACCTACCAAATCTCCACGTATTTCCCAACTCGGAACTGGCACCCCCACCTGTAATTCTTGAAGATCTCCAGTCCCCACCTGGAGGTTGGCAACCTGACCTTCATTTAACATAGGAATTGTGTTTTAGCAGGTTCTCACCGGCCTGGTTCTCACAGAAGTGATCAGGGAGCCCCCCGCTCCCGGCGAAGATACACTTGGCAACCCTATGCCATGGGGGTTCTTACCTGACTGACTAGATTCCCTCCACACAGAAAATTAGCAGGCCCATGGCGAAAAACAAAAACTGCCCTAGGCTATCTATCCCCAATATATAGTTTTCTGTGTGGAGGGCATTTTGGTCCACGGAAGAGAATTTCATTCATGTGAGCAGTCAGAAGCAGGTTTCCTGTACCAGTGAGAACTGGGCTATATAGTCTCACCTAACTTCTCCTAAGGTTCTTGTGAAGAAGAAAAATGGGATCAAGGACCCTGAGATAAACGCAGGCTCCTCTGAACTCCGACATGTTCTGTGCTTATCTTCTAATGACAGGGACTCCTGTGTATTTATTAATTTACTTCATTTATACCTTACTTTTCTCCTCAATGGGGAACCAAAGTTGCTCACATCATTTTCCTCTCTCCCATTTTATCCTCACAACAACCCTGTGAGGGAGGTTAGGCTTAAAGTGTATGACCAGCCCAAGGTCACCCATAGGGTCGGCAGGTCTTCTACCACGGTGGCACGCCTTCTAGCGATTTCCCCTTCACTGCCTGCTGGCACCTCAAAAGCTGGTGGGAGAAAATTGGGAGAGCATGCAAGCATTGTGCTGGCATGTGACCTCCTTTCCAGCAAAATAACAACAACAATGGAAGTGATGTCATAACGTTGGGGGGTGACATTTTAGGATCTGCCAAAACCGTTATTTGGACAAATTCTAGAGCACCCGACATCATGACATCACTTCTGGTTTCCACAGGAAGTGACACTGCATGCCGGCACAACACTGGAATGCCTATTTCCACCCTCAAAAATCTCCAGGGGTTGCCAGGTGGAGACCTGGAATCCTTAATCACCCAGTAAGCTTGGTGTTCATTGCACACAGAATACCTTAAGTGTTCTGGCCTATGTATAGCAGTTGTGTGATGTATTCAATAGCTGCCATTGCAATACATACTGTCTGTGAATCATCTAATTGAAGTTCCATGTCAAGCTTCATCCTGGGCTAGGATCCTAATCCCTCCAATCCTATTGGTAGCACAGGAAGAACCAACCAATCACGTGCCATCGAGCTCCCTGAGCAGGAACGTCTGTGATTGGACTTTATGTATACAATCTTATTGGTTGGTATTGTATAGTAGGGTGTGGCTACATTAGCCGGGAGAGTTTAAAAGCAGAACAGCTTCAATGCAAAAGCTGTTCTGGCTATCAGAGTTGATCCGTGTTTGGAGTTGAGTTACGAGTTGCTGAATAAAGCTGATCTTTTGATGAATCACTCTCTGACTTGTTTGTTAAGTAGCCGACTTAACAAGTTGGTAGAATAAAATTGGCCTAACAGGCAGCAGACACACAAATGCTTCCTTCTGCAGACCCATCAACATGGGCCCTTCTCACCTTTCTTATGTCTTCTCCCTCAGGGGAGACACAGGCAGAGAACCTGGCATACTTCCCAGGGTTGCCACCTCTGGGCTGGGAAGTACCTGAAGATTTTGGGGGTGGAGCATGAGGAGGGTGGGGTTTGAGAACGAAGGGGTCTTCAGTGGGGTACAATACCATAGAGTCTACCATTTCAATGCGGCCATTTTCTCCAGGTGAACTGATCTCTGTTGCCTGGAGATTAGTTGTAATTCTGGGAGATCTCCAGCCACCATCTGAAGGCTCGCAACCCTAACGCTTCCCCTGACCAGCCTTTCCTGCCTTGTCATGAAAATGCTCACTTCCCCACCAGCTTAGTAAAATAGGAAAGATGCTCCTATCTTTGTGGGGGAGGGGAGTGTCTGTGAGCACAGGTTCCTCTCCCGATTCAGTCCGTTCCTCATAACTGCCCTTCCCAACGCACTCAGGAAATGCTTCAGCAACTGCCAAAGACACCCCACTGATCACCGTCAGAGGTAGGGTTGCCATCCCCCCAATGGGGCCAAGGGATCTCCTGACTTTGGGGCCCCCAATCTGCCGCCGGCCAGCTGCCTGGTGGGGGAAGCCCCACCCCCAAACAGCAGCATCCCACAGGGATGCTGCCAACACAACAACGTCACCGGTAGTGACGTCATAATGCTGGGGCTGTCATGTGATGATGCGTTAGCATTCAGGGGGAAACTCTGTGGTTGCCATAGAGTTCTTGCTCCGAATGCTAGAGCGTCGCCGCACGATGGTCCTAGTGCGATGACATCACTGCTGGTGACATCATCTCGCCGCATGCAGAGGAGTCCTGGGGAGGAGCCAGGAGCCCCCCCACGACAGCAAAGGTGAGACCTGGCAATCTTAGCCAGAGTCCACAGTGGGAACTGTTTCTTTTTACCTCAGGATGCGAATCTGCAGACTGAGTATTGGCATGTAAAAATAGGAACGCCGCACGTGCGTGGAAATTATCTAAAATAAAGTTTACTAAAGAAAAGGAAGGGCAGTCTAGCTGACTAAGCTACATCTTCCTAGCTGAGTTAACTCCAGGATGGAGACTGCGGCTACTGAACGCTAAACAAAGGAAGGGAGAGGAAGACCCAAAATGCCTCAGGTAACATCACCCAACTATGAACTGACCAATGACCATGCTGAAGGTCAGTTCATTGTGCATAGACCTTCCCCTTCTAGCCTGGGAACTTCTACTTAATGCCCCATGGGTTCTAATTAACTAATTAACTAACAATTACCATAGACAAACAAACAGGCTAACTCGTTCAGGACACCAGGGAAAGAACCTGCAGATGCTCCAACACTGAGTCA